CAAAAGATTGATAGATGAAGAAGAAATTTCGCTCTTCTTCAGAGCATCTTCATTCTCCCTTCCGCTCGTGGCAGTTAGTTAGTTAATTTAACTCACTATTTTGCAGTTTCGTCCTTCAAAAATTTTAGTACTACATTTCATCAACGGTAAATATACATTTTGGTACGTATACTTAAAGTCAAGATTCAATTCTGCTGTTAAGTTTCTTTTTTTCTTCATTTAAGTGCTTGAACTTGGCCTTAAACTTCAATTTTATACCTAAGTTTTTTGTCCAGTTAAATACTTAGCTTTATTTTCTTTATTCAAATTGGTACTTGAATTCGGGTTTATGGTTCAAACAATTCATCTATAATAAGATCAATCTGGACTAAAAGAATTAAATTTAGGTACTAATTTGAACAATTTTTTTTTAAATATTTAATTGGATAAAAGAATTAAGTATCAAATTTTAAATCTTTTACATATATTGCATTTAAATTAAAAAATTGGGTAAAGTAAAATAATTACTCACCCAACTATTATTCTTTCTCTACTTTGGTCACCAAACTATTTCTTTTACAAATTTGATCACAAACGTTACTTTTTTTTCTATTTTGGTCACCTAACATGTGGTTGATACAAGATAATGTTGGCTTATCCCCGGTCGCAGGTTTGATCCCTGATTTTTTAGCTCACAATCTATCGTTCGCCTATTTTTTGTCCATTCCGATTCACAAAATAGTATATGTGCAACAAAAGTTTTTTTTTTTTACTCGAATACAACCATGTTCAAATGATCTAAGTGAGCACCCAGATTTTGTCATCTTTAACTCTTTATTACCAGATGACACCAATCTTTTAACAGGCAAAGAAATAAAATACTAAATTAAGCGATCAAAACAGCATATGCAATGAGAATGTATGGCAAAAGAAGAAGAAACAATGAAACTTTGTCCTAGAGTTTTGGTTTTGGGCTCTGAGATTTCCTGAACCATAAAGGAGGACAAATTCTATATTCTTGGACAGGTTCCTCTTCTTTCACGACTTCTTTATCATCCGTGACGGTTTTAGGAAATGCATCGGGGTTACCTTTGATACAGGTTTGCAAGGCAACAAACGGATGCACGCAGTCTGAACCCTGTTACAGAGGAAAGTTTCAAAATGTTGGTGCTTGACGGGGAAAACTAAGATTTGTATGTTGCGGGTCGGGTTAAGCAATGATCAAATGACCGAGAAAAAAAATCAAGATATGAGTTATCGAGGGAAACAACATGAATAGAAAGAAATTAATGTTTCAAATATTCAAGCAGTTTTTGAAGCCCTATACCAGCCTTTTAGAATAGCGGGAAACAACATAAAAATGGACCAATGTTGCATTGTTCATATTCTTTATTCTCCTCACAATAGATATGCCATATACCCGTATTTGACGCATGTCCAAAAATAAGTGTCCCCACTAGGGACACTTTCACGTATCCCACACTCACACTCGACTTCAGAGTAACATAGAAACAATGTAAAATGTTTAATTTAAAAATAAGAATTTAAAGTATACCGTCTAAACTATATTTTGATCAAAGTCCGGTGACTAAAGTATTCACCTTTTTCATCTAGGTAACTAAATTTTTTTTAATCAATGACAAGTGTCAATTTTTAGGTACCTAGATGAAAAAGCTGGTATATTTCAGGTACCTACTTTAGTCAAAAAAAATACTTTAGGTACTACATGAAAAAATTGATTACTTTAGCTATTTACTTTGACCAAAAAAATACTTAGTGCTTAGATAAAAAAAGACTATGCTTTAGGTACCTATTTCTGAAATAAGTCTAAATGAAATGAAACAACAAATCAAAGTATAGATGAAAAGCTAAGGCTTTGATTGGTATGGAAGATGGAAAATCTGTTGATCAAATGATTAAGATTCAAAGTAAGAAAATGGTTGAATCTTAACAATCTGGTTAACAAATTAAATCTTTGCTTTCTAAACAAGACATTTACAATATCTAGACTTCAGAGCTTCAACTTAAATCACAATATAGATGAAACTGAAGCTAAATCTTTGCTTTCTAAATCTTTTGTTTTGTAAAGGTTGAAATGACATAACCAGCTAAGCAGAAATCACCTACTAGGAGCGTCTAGATTAATTACCTTTTTCCTCAGCTGTGCTTTTGAGAAAACAAAGGAAAGCCTCGGTGAACTGAGCACCGCAAGCGCCATCCCGCAGCTCAGCAACACAAGGGCAGTTTAATGCCTTCTGCGCCTGCGCTTCAAGGGACTGGCACAAAAGAAGAAAGAAACAAAAACCCAATTCATTTCACAACTTGTTAAGTGCCCCAACTACAAAAAAGGGAGCAAGTAATGGAATTAAAATAGTGGAACAACCTGATTCTCATCGTTACCATATGCCGCAGCTTCTGCAAAAAAAGCAAAAGTAATGGAATCATCAACAGCTCCAGCCAAAAAAGAAGTGAAAAAGAACTTCCATTTTTTAAATGGAGTAAGGCAAAAAACGAACAGAATTTAAAGTAAAGCTAAGATCTTCTTTCGGACATTTTCACAAACAGATGGCACATGAGATTGACGGCAACTAATATTAACAACGTAAAGGCATAAACTAAGAAACCTGCAAGAATAGAATCCATGGAAGAGGGAGAGTCGGGTCGAGCTTGGCCGTTAATGGCATCAGCCGCCGATACATCGCTTTGAACTTGGCCCATCTCCGCCTTGTGAGTTCTTCCCACACTTTTTTACCCAATGGCAATGGGTGTAAATTTGTAAGTCTTCTTCGCTTTCTGACCATCTCTTGCATTGACTTTGACTTATTTTTGTGGTAGGTGATTTTTTTAGGCAATATTATATTAAAAAAAAGAAAAAATAACTTTGACCAAAAATACCTTATAATATACGATTTTAACCAAATTTTTTTGGATTTGCAAAATTGACCAACTAAATCGCAATGCGATCGATAATTCGCAACGCGATCTCCGGTATCGCAAATCAGTTTCCAGATTCGCAACGCGAACTTCGACTATCGCAACACGAACTTGGACAATCGCAATGTGAATATGTAAATCACATTGTATTGTAAACAAGTGTTGGTAATGCTCAATCCCACATAGTATTGGAAACACTATTGGGAATGGTATTTAAGGCTTGGCTTTCCTACTTCCTTGTTGAGTAATAGAGAACAAGGGGACTCTCGCGCGCCGCCGCCCGTCCCGTCTCGGGTCGGGTCGGGTCGTGGTCGTGGTCGTGGTCGTGGTAATACGTGTCTTCGACACGTCCGCGCGAATACTATCTTTTTAGAGAAAATTCTTAAGAAACAAATGCAATACTATCGCAACGAAATTGGAATAAATCGCAACGAATTTGAAATAAATCGCAACGAATTTAGAATAAATCGCAACGCGAACTTAGACTATCACAATGCGAATATGTAAATCGCAATGCGATAGTCGAAGTTCGCGTTGCGAATCTGGAAACTGATTTGCGATACCGGAGATCGCTTTGCGAATTATCGATCGCATTGCGATTTAGTTTGTCATTTTGGCAAATTCAAAAAAAAATTGATTAAAATCGTATATTATAAGGCATTTTTGGTCAATGAGGGTATTTTCTCTAAAAAAAAACCTAATAATTATTTTTTAACGGTAACTCCCATTGTAGATTTGTTAGAAACATGCTTCCAAACTGGACACTGGACTACTTCGCGTCCTATTCAGTAAGAGAACGTATCTCGCATTTTATAGGATGTAAAGTACTGTATATTTTTTAGATTATATAATTTAATATAATTATTTAGTATCTCACGTTTCTTAAAACATGAGGTTCGCGAGATATTAAAAAATTATCGTTTATAGAAGTTTTAATATTTAAAATTTGAAATTGGAAAATATTCAATGTTTAAGAGATTTTACTTTTTGACGATCTTAATGGTAAAAAGGATTTTTATTCTTTGTAAATATATTGAATTCGAGTAATTAAATATGTGTGAGTTATTAATGGTTAAGAAAGATTTTAAAATGTTATTACCTTGTAATTATCTAAGTTTTTACTTTTTTTCTTAGGTAAATTACATGGATGGTCTATTCTATTTTTGAGTCGTTCGATTTTGAAAAAAAATAGTTTTGGTCACTTATGTTTTTGGGTTATAACATTTTGGTCACTCGGATGTTAACCTCTGTTGTATTATTGACGTGACACATTAAAACTTGTTAAATTATACTTTTAGCCCAAGAACTTTTAAAAATTATTTTTCACCCATTCTCAAACAAACAAACAAAAAAACAAAAAAAATTGTGTGTAAGCAGATCGATTACTCGATATGCAATCGAATATTACAATACATATTTAATTTGTGTATTCGTATTATTTAACGACATGAATATTTGAGCTACTTAAATTAGGTATTTAAATTTTAGCTTTTTAAGGACTAATCGACTGCTTATTTTTATTGTACCCAATTAGATACTATTTTCAGTGCAATTAGACACTTATCATTTTTAAAATTATAATTTCAATGTTTAATTATTAAATCAATAATATTATATCTTAACGGAATTGTGTTGAAATTGTAAGTATAAACCATTCAAAATTGAACATAAATAATTAAAAAATTAACTGACTAATTGCACCAAATAAAAATCTCAGGTACCTAATTTCACCATTGCAAAAACTTAGATATATAATTTCACGAAGAAAAAAGTTTAGTACCACATTGTACATAAATCCCAAAGTTAGTGACCAAAAGTTATATTTACTCTTTGCTAAAAAGTATTAAAAAAGAAGCTCGCAACCAAAAATGAATTCCGCTGCCGGGGTTCGAGCCCGGAATTTCATTATCAAAGGAAATTTAACCGTTGTGCTACAGCGGATTTGTTGTTATAAGATTGCAAAATATATTATATAATGTTTAAAATGTATTCTCTAGTTTGTTGGGACAAATGTGTAATTTCCTTCTGGTTTCATGTTTCTAATTCCTCGTTTAAGAACTATTCTCCATTGTTATACCTCGTCTGACTTTGAATCCCAAAGACTGAAACCCAGAAATCGCAAGGAAAGTGGGGGGAAATTAGCGATGAGAAGCGCGCCGGCACAGATTCCGACGAGTTTCGGCCACGAGCTCAGGGCTTGCCTTCGTTTCCGCCTCGTCAAAACCTACGATCAGGTTGCTTGTTCCGTTTCCGGTTTAGGGTTCTTCTCGCTTTAAAGCATTTCGTGTTCGAGGCGTTGTACTAATTACTTCTTTTTGTGGGTATTTGAATAATAACAGTTTAGAGAATCAGGATGTGAGAACTGCCCATTCTTTAAGATGGACGAGGATAATGAACGCGTTGTCGATTGCACCACTCCTAATTTCAATGGGTCTCTTTATCCCTAAACCTATTGTTTTAGATTTGCATTTTCTTATCCTTTGAGTAGGGGTGAGCATTCGATCCTCAAAAAAGTTCTGAGTTATGTTTCATAACTTAAGGTTTATTTGAAACTTTTTGTAGAGTCGAATTGTTCGAGTTTCTTACATTTAAGTTAAAATATTTATAATGTTATGGTACGAATAGATTCAAATTTTGCATTTTCATATCCCTTTGTGCGTTGTTTTAAATTTTGATTACTGAATGTTCTAGGATAATTTCTGTGATGGATCCGTCTAGAAGTTGGGCTGCTCGTTGGCTACGAATTGGTAAGTTTTTCAAAGTTTAAGAGCCTTATTTGCATGGATAATGGAGGTTTGTATGATTTAGAATATGTATGATTTGCTTTATTGTGTGAGGTTAGTTTGCTGTTTTTACTAATGGGTCAGTGAACCCTGGATTTTAAGATTTATTCTCTAATCTCTTGGCTGATTGATGGAAAAAAAAGAATGCCTCTATTAATGCTTCTATATTACTCGAATTCAGGTATTAGTTTCAAATATGAGCATATGTCCAACACGAGCATGGTTAATTTTCCAAGTTTTCCCATGCATTTGGAGGATCCGTGTCATACCTCTGTATTCTTGTCTGCAAATTTGTCGGGCATGCTGTTGGACTAGATATTTCTAACAAAAATGAAGAATCGGAGCAACATGGCTTCTGAACTTCATGAAGCACCGGACTTTCGAAATCTTGATGATAGTTTTCCACCATCAAATAGTAGATCATCCAATTATTATCATGTCGTGTTTATATCCTTCTCAGTTTCTGATGGCTTCTCAAACTATATGTTTATTGTTATTAATGGCTGAACCTTGGATTTTAAGATTTATTCTATAGGTTGACTGCTGGAATAATGCATGTTTTTATGAATGCTTCTACGTTACTCGAATTCAGGTATTAGATTCAAACATGAGCATATGTTCAAAATAATTTCCCAAGTTTTTCCATGCATTTGGAGAATCCTTGTCATACCTCCGAAAATTTGTTGGACATGCTGTTGGACTAGATATTTCTAACAAAAACGAAGAGTCAGAGCAACATGGCTTCTGAATTTTATGAAGCACCGGACTTTTAGCATCTTGATGATAGATTATCCAATTATTATTATATTTATATCGTTTCTTTATATCCTTTACGACTTCTGATGCCTTATCAAACTATATGTTTACTTACTGTATTATATATGATCCTTAGATATTCTGGTTTCTTTATATTTCTGTAAATCCTTCTCAGGGAGATTTGTCCCCGGTTGTTACACTCTTGCAGTTTCAGAGGCACTTCCAGAGGAGTTGCAGGTACAGTGTCTCATCCCGAGTGAAATTCACTTATCCCTTTTATTTCCTCAGAAATTTTATGCGGATTAGCTCACAAAATTAAAATTGAATGATCATGTATGAAACACTGTGGATCTTTTCAAATATCTAGGCCTTCCATGATAATATTTGGTTTCCCTTTTCAACCATTCTCATGTCATCTTTGTAGCGTCCTATCCCGTCGGGGTCGTATTTCAACTCTGATTATGTAAATACAACATTGTACATATTATAACAAAGAAAAATTTCTAATGTCAAATCCAGAAGCTCTAAAACTACAAGAATCGAGTATACTATCTCGTTTCTCCGTTAAAAAGATGATACAATGACGACATGATATTACTTTTGCGTTTCTGCCATTAATCCCCGTGTTTCTTCGTACAGAATATGTGTGAAGAAGTGCATGTTCAGTACGTACCACCGAAGCGGGTATGAGAAAGAGTCCGGGACGACATTATATAATGTAAGAATCGAAAAACCGAATTCCGTTTTAGGAGTAATGATCTGTGTTGGTTGCTTTGTATCACAAGTATTGCTCTGTTATCTTGGCTGACAATGAATTGTATGTAAACAGTTTCTGGGTTTGAGCAACTTAATGAACACACTAGTTTTTTTCAAGGTAGCCGTTCTATGTGGCGTATTAGACAGGGCTGGAATCTGGATATAACTTTAAAATATACTAATATATTGAAATTTTAAGGGTAAATATAACTTCTGGTACCTGACTTTGGCATTTATGTGTAATGTGGTATCTAACTTTTTTGGGTGCAATTAGGTACTAAACTTTTCTTTTAATGATGCAATATGCTACCCAACTTTTTATGTACAATTAGGTACCCACCTTTTTCCTTTGGTGCAATTGTTTTCTTTTAGTTGTATTAAAAAAAGTAAAAGTTGTACATCTAATTGTACCAATTAAAGTTCTAAAATTTTTAGTCTCGAAAAACAATAAAAGTTTTACTTTAAATTTCTATTTTTTCAAATAAACTTTTTCAATTAGGTACCTAGCTTTTTTTCTTCGGTGCAATTAGGTACTCATTTCTTTTTTCGGTGCAATTCGGTATATAACATTTTTAGTTACATGTGCTCAATTATGGTTGGTTTATATTTGTAATTTTAACATCGTTTAGTTAAATGGATAATGTGTTAAATACTCAAAAAAAATATTCTAAATGTGATCACGTGTAATTTTGAAAGTTCAAGTTCTAAATAGCATTTTAAAAATAAAAATTAGGTATCTAATTACAAAAAAAAAGCACTGGTTAGGTATTATTTGCACTAAAAGAAGGTTGGATAATAAAACCAAAATTAGGTGTTTTGCATAAAAAATTATAAATCAAGTATATTAATTTTAAATAATATGTTTGGATTATATATCATATATTTTTAAATTTTATACTTTTAATGTGATTTTTTAAATAATATAATTTTGGGAAAACATAAATATGAAATGAGCATCCGTGATCCGAAAATAATGGTATTCGAGTTTTATAAGTACCCGACTCGTGGATACCCGAATTATTTAGATTATAAATTTGGTAACTATATTTTACTTTCTCTCTTATTTTACTTATTGTATTTTTTTAATTTTCTTATTGAACTTAATACATTGAGTTTTTTTTTGTTATTATGATGTCAAATAGTTTTTCTTGATTAATATGGGGTAAGTACAAAACAATATATGTTCAAATATAATTATCAATCACTTGAAATTGAACGCACTACACCAAGCATTCCTGATGCTCGAACCTGGAACATCAAGGAATAACAATAATTCCTTTACCATTTAGGTTGCTTGGTTCACGCGGCTGTTAAATAGTTAATGACATGGAAATGGGTAATAATATAGATGCAAAACGACATCATTTTGGTGAAATTTTTGTTTTTTTATAAAATCGTGTCATTTTTAACACCATTAACTATTTAACGGCGGAGTGACCAAAATATAAGAGAGCATAAAATTCAATGAAAAAAAACTCAATGTGTTAAATTCAATGAGGAAATTTAAAATTTTTAAAATTCAATGAGCAAATAGGAGAGAAAGTAAAATTTAGTGACTATTTTTATAATTTACCAATAACAAAAAATATATAATTATAACAATGGAGGGGAAAAAGAATTTTATCTAAATCCACATCAAGAATTTTTAAAAATAATAAATTTCATTAAATTAATTGAAATATTACCCGAAAAATCTGGATACAGCAGAAGGATACTCCATTGTTTGACACGTGGCTTGCGTCGTATTCTTTAATTGTCTGGATTATCATTTTAATAATGCATCTTTCAAGCCAATAATAATACTCTAATTCGTGTTTGCTTTCATTACTAACAATAAAGCAATTTTTAAGGAATAATCATTTTGTCTTGTTTTGCATGAAATTACGTGCAAATAATATATATTATTGACGTAACTTTAAATTATTATAACGTGCACGAATCATCAATAATCTAAATATATTTAGGTTTCATATAGACATGAGTGTTTAAATTTTATCTCGAGAAACAATATGATACTTAAAGAATTTTTAAGTTAAAAATAAGTGCGTAACATTTTCTTAGTTATATTTCTTGGTGCCTACTATTATATTTTTTTAATTTTTTAATAATAAAAAATATCATTTTTTAATAATAAAGAAAAATTAAAAAAACTTAATTTATTTACAAAAGTACCCCAAACTTTTGATGAAATTATAAAAAAACCAAAATATATCATTTCAACCCGTTACCATGGTAGAACGTCGGAGGAGCACCGATGGAGCAACGGTGAGGATGGGTTTTGAGCGGAATTGGACGGTGGTGACAACATAGCATATGGACTTTGGGATCGATCAAAATCAAAGAAAAACAACGATAGTGGCTTAAAATCCGACGAAACTTCAAACGTTTCTCCACGACAAACGGTGACAGTTTACAACGAAAGGTCAACGGGGGTTTGATCAGGAGTCGACGGTTGTGGTCACGACTGGTTGACTGACGACCATGAAAGGGAGAAAGGGGAAAGGGGGAAAGGAGGGGGCTGTTGCGATAAGGATTTGAGTTTTTTTTTTAATAAAAAATATTTTTATTTTTAAAAATTTTAAAATAAATTCTCAAAATTATTAGGGCTCGACACGTGTTACTTAACGGTCAAATTTAACGGTCGTTAAACGGTCAAAGCACCTAAAAGTGCTCCGATTAAAATGTTAGACACCTAATTTTAACGAAAATTATTTAGACACTAAAACATTTTTCGAGACAAAATTCAAACACTTACTGTAGACACTAATTTTTTCATTTATTTTTAAAATTATTATTATTATTATAATTATTATTATTATTATTATTATTATTATTATTAAATATTATTATTATTACAAGCCCAAACCAGAACCCAATTACAAATGGGTACCTAGATCCACACCCGACCCATACCACTCAGCAGGATCCAAACCTAATTAGGGTTTCTAGCATCTTCTTCAGCTGCCAGTTTTATCAGCCGTTGGATCTGACATGATCCAACGGTCCAGATTAAGCACAGCAGAAACCCTAGGGTTCACCAACCCTAGGGAGATTTCGGTGCTGCCATGTCCCTCCAACTGCTCCGCCGCTTCTACGCCAACCACTACATCGTTATGTTCCCCAGTCGTTTGTTGCCACGACATCGATGCTTCCAGAAAATCTACACCAGTCGCTCATGTTACATCCCTTTGGTGACTCACCGAGGGACCATCGAACCGAAGGCAGTTTCATGATGGCCTATAAAAGGCCACCAAACTTGCAAAGACAAGGAGAAGACAACAAGAAAACAACCACGAGGAAAACAACAACCAATAACCAACCGAGAAACAAAACAGAAAAGAAAACTTACCATCGTTAGGATACCAAACATTGTCGGAAAACTCAAAATACCGAAGGTATTTTCTTTAAATCTGCACGATTCTGAGGGTTTTTTAGGAAAAACTAAGGTTGGAATCGATTTTAGGGCTTTGAGATCTTCGAGTTGGGTAAGTTTTGTAAAATCCGACCACCATGGGTGGTGGCCGACGGTGGTCATCGGTGCCAAAGATCGGCGGTTAGCGGTGGCCGGGTTATCTCTTATGGGAGAATTTTAGAGAGAGTTCAGAGAGAATTTTCATCTCTCTCTTTTAGAGAGAGAGGGGGAAAAAGAAAATGAGAGAGATGGTTGAGTTTAGGCCGGTTTTGGGCCTTTTATTCCCCTTCCCAAACGACGTCGCTTTGGGAAGGGATGTTTGTGTAATTTCACTCTTGGGAAAATCACGCTCGTGATATCTCCGAATTTATATTCTTTTGCAATTTGGTCACTAAATTGATTTTGTAGGTCTTTTAATTTTGTCCTCTTATTTTATTTTATATTGTTATAGTCCTTGCCATATTTATTAAATATTTAGGGTAAATACTAGATTTAGTCCTTTTAATTTTAAGAAATTATATTTTAATCTCGATTAATAATTATGGTTAAATTACAATGATAGTATTTATATTTCATGGTATTTTTAATTAGGGCTATTAATTTATATATGAATATGAGGTTATATTTTTAATTTCTTTTATTTTAATCACTGATTAATTATAATTTTATTTTATTATTGATCTTTATTGTTCAATATTTTTAATTTAGTATTTTAATTTTTATCCCCTATAATTTTACTAATTTTTATTTTAATCTCTTATAATTAATAATGATTAAATTATACTATTAATACTTATATTAAATAATTTGTTTATTGATTATAGATATTAGGTGATAATAATTATATTATATATATTTTGGTAATAAAATCAACTGGGTTCACTATTAAAGTTATGTTAATTCAAACTACTTTTGTTTTTTTAAAAAGTTAAAGTTGAAAATTGAATAATATTTTATTACTATTATTGGATTAGAAAAATGTCAATTTCATATTAGATTTAATTGTAATAAAATACTTTAATTTAAAATTATGTAATTTTAAACAATGTTTACAAATATTTGTTTCAATATTTTAAATATAGTATTTAATTATTACTTTATTTTTTATTTCACTTTTTCATTATAAATATGTTAAACCTATTTTTTATTTATGGTAACAACTTTATTAGGTAGATTCTTGATAATGAATACCTACATATATCAATAGAAGGTTAGCACGTGAAGGTTAATAAAGTATTAATTTTGATTATGTTTTGTTGGTTTGTAAATGTGATTATTTGTTTTGTATGGCTTGATCTTTTCTTATTTTATGAATTCAATTTTAAATTTTCCTATTCTTTCATTTTAGTCATTATATTATTATTTTTGTTTCCTACATGTTTATGTATTTATTTACATTACATTTTTTTAAAGGATCGTTGATATTTATTTATTTCTAAATATTAAGAAAGGATTGTCTTAAATTAACTAGATGTCATATTCTAATATTTTTTTAATAAATAAATACCTTACTTATAAAAACAAATATATATATAATTTTAATTTTATTCAAATTTATTTATTTTTCAATTTTAAAGAAATGGGCTGTCTTAAAGTAACTAGATGTCCTTTTATGATATTTTTAAATAAATAAATACCTTATTTATAAAACCTTAAATATATATATATATATATATTAGTTTTATAAAAATTATTTTAATATATTT